GTCTCTGGTCTGTTGAAGTGGTTGGAGCTGTTTCTGTGTTTCTATTGGCTGAGCTGTTTCTGTGTTTCTATTGGCTGAGCTGTTTCTGTGTTTCTATTGGCAGAGCTGTTTCTGTGTTTCTATTGGCTGATTCATGCATTCACACCCTGTTTGTGTGCTTCTTGTTTTCTGCTCAGCGGTGGAGGAAGGAGAGTCCTTGGAGTGTGGAGGGACCTGGGAGGAAGCAGCCGTTCACACAGGTTTGTACACAAACACTCCACAGTAAAAATGTAACTTTCATTATAGTTTATGATCACAGCTCCACAACAGTTTTCTTGTCTTTAGAAGCAGAATAAGGTGGAAAATGTGGAAATGTTGAATAAACAGAAGGGAATGAACTGGTGAAAGTATTACAGTCATATTTTAGAGAGTTGGAATGATGGGAAATGTGAAAAGAAACCAAATCATCTGTCAGTAAAACAGTCATAAAATCAAACCCTTTTGTGTGAAAGGTCATTAAATATTTAGCTAACACAAAGCTTGTTGAGAGTTTTATATTTTCAGATGTAGACAAACAGTAAATCAACTTTTGTCCAATCAAAGTCTAGTTTTTGTTCTGTCAGCAGCTGATTGTTGGAAATGTTCCTTCTGTTTCTTTCACCTTCATTCTTAAACAGCAAAGTTTTAATGTTGGAAAAATGATTCAAATGTTTTGTCATTTAGTAAAGCATGTAAATGTGACTGATATTTTATTATTATAGATTAACTTTGTTTACTTCACTAAATATTGTCTGTTGGTCTTTGATGGGTTTTGCTCTCATTTACTGTACGTATAAATCTGTAGCTCCTAGCGTTGGTGTTCAGTGGAGAAGGAGGTCTCTGCAGTCCATGTTGTCCTGTGGGCGGGGTCAGCCCTACTCCTGATTGGTGGAGGTCTTCATGTGGGCGGGGTCAGCCCTACTCCTGATTGGTGGAGGTCTTCATGTGGGCGGGGTCAGCCCTACTCCTGATTGGTGGAGGTCTTCATGTGGGCGTGGAGGTCTT